TGGCTCTTTAGTTAGTCTTTGAGAGCACACTAGCTTAGTGAGTAGTGACCTAGCTTGTTGTGTGTGTTAGTGATCATAGCAACTAGAATTGTTGGGATAGGTGGCTTGCAACCCTTGTAGAGCTAGAGCAAAATTATATTACGCCGTTTGTTGTAATAATCAATTGCTCTAGTGCTTGTAGAAATTTTAAATAGGCTATTCACCCCCCCTCTAGCCATATTAGGACCTTTCAGCTGCTCCAGCCCTAGCCCATCACCTTCGAGCTCACCATAGGAAGAGGGAATAGGACCCCAGAGCTTGCCAGAACCCTAGCCACCGCCGTGTCATTCAGATCTAGAGGAGGAGGAGGACGACGAGGGCTCAAATCCAGAGGAGGAGGAGGAGGGCTTAGATCCAGAGAAGAACCGACCTACATCATCGGAGCCGACTGCTGCCGTCCTCATCTCTGGTGGGGGGCGGAGCTGGGTCGCTGGGGAGCATGGGGTGCAATGGAGGTCGTAGAAGGGGAGGGAGGGAGGAGGGAGCGCGGGACGGCAGCGAGCGGCCAGAGGCATGTGGTGGTGGATGGGGAGCAGCGGTGTGGAAATGGCGAGGTCAGAGGAATCGATGTGGGAGTCCTCCTTTTGTTCCACATGAGCGTCGCTCTATTGGGCCGTAGGCCTAGGCGGTCGGTTCCTGGATGGGACGGATGCCCGCACAGTATCATTACCGTACATGAAAACTAGTTGAAGCAACAGGCAAGCAAGTCATGTCTGCAATTCTAGAAATCTGAATTGAATTCACATTGTCCTTGCAGTCATACACAAGCACAACCAAGTAAATAAATTTCTATTTTGGGTTGTGAATAGAAAACATTAAATAAAATAAAAGAGTTAATAACTTTCTAAAAATTTTCAAGATTTAGATAGGTTATTGATAATTTGAATAGTGAGAAATATGATTTTATAAAAAGTTTAATTATAATTAATTTGCTATATTTGTTGCATTCATACCTTTGCATTTAATTTTATTGCGTGAAAAATGATTGCCAAAATTCGTTAGATGCAAATCGGTCTTGCTCTATTTATATAATAAAGTATTTAAGTTTTAATTGAAAACAAGTTCAAAATGTTATTTTTAAAAGTTATTGTCAAATTTCATTTTACAAAATATTTTAAAATAATTTTGATTCAAGTTTGGTTTAAAAATAGTTGATTTTGAGCTTCAAATGAATTTACAAAAAGGAAAAATAAATAAACTCTCTATGTACTTTGGGCAAAATTTGGTCCAGTCCCTCTCTCCCTCCTTTCCTCTCAGGCCGAGACCACCCCCTCACCCGCACCTACCTTCCTCTCCTTTCTAGGCCGCAGCCCATCCTCGCAGCAGCAGTAGGCCACCAACACCCCTCCCCTCTCGCTGTCGTGCAGACCCTTGCTGCCAGCCACGACGCACCCTTCCTCTCTATCTCTACCATCAGGCCCTGCCCCTCCCCCTCTCTCTCTCTCTCAGTCACTGACAGATGGGCCCCACCTGTTAGGGGACCGGACTACAATAGCATCTCCTTCCTCCTGCTCCCTCCGCCCCTATTCGCTCTGCCATCACCGCGCGCTCGAGCCTGCTGTGTAGACCGGGCAACCTGAGGACCAGGCCACGCATGCCGAGTCCCCCGTTCCATCCTCGCCGAGCCCCGGTCCAAATCTGGACCCACGCGCTCCATGCATGGAAGTGCATGCAGAGTCCCCACCACTCGTTCCTACCCTTTTGACCCTATAAGAAGAGGCCCTTGGCACCGCAGCCTCCGCCGCCGCCTCGTACCCTAGCACGCACGCCACCATAGCTGCGCCTTTGAGCTCGGGGTGCGCCGCTGTCGATCTCCGTGACTGCCGCATCCCCATGATGAGGTCACCACGACGTGCTTCGCAAGGCCACGAGGGAGCCTCTGGTATACCTCAACGTAGGGGCGCTATTGTCCCTGGTCAGCATCGTCGCGTCCTCTGTCGTCTCCTGCTGTCATTCGCTGTCGAGATCAACTGACCCGAGTTCGCGATATCGAACTCTACGCCCCTATGCCCTTCGCGTAGCCCACCGATCCCTGTAGGGTGTTTGCCGCCACGTTCCAGTGGGCTCCTATCGACAGCAATGGTAGCGCCGTCGTGTCAGGTCACGCTGACCATCCCTGTCGCCTGGTCAATGTCGCGCAAGCCGTCCTACCGTCCGATCTGCATCCGGCGGCCCCAATCCGATCGGTGACCGATTAACCAAGTTAGCGGAGTTGACTTAACAGCCAAGTCAGCGGCCGCGTGGATGCCATGTGCCATGCCAGCAGCCATGGGTCAACCTGGTCAGCAGCTCGGTCAGCCCTGGATGTTTTCAAACAACCCCCTCATATTTCCTGAAATCTACACATGGTCCATCGCGGTTAAAAATAATTAGGAAGACGTCTGTTTCTAACATTTTAGCCCTTGAGGTCATCGGTTTTTGTACCTGCAGTCCAAATCCCCTTTTTGTTTTTAGTTTTTAATCGTTTTAAATGCGAAAATAGTTCCAGTAATCTACAATTTTGCCATTGGACCTTGTTTAACCATATCTTGCACGTTTTGGCTCCGTTTTAGTCCATTCTTGTTACATTAGGGTCGTAATGATGTAAGCTATGTGTTAGCAACCGTTTATAATATGTTTTCTTATGATTGACATGCTATTTTTATGCTTGTTCCTATGGTTGTTGTCTATCGAAGATGAGTTGATCAAGGATGAACCAAAAGGAAAGATGAGTTGATCAAGGATGAACCAGAAAGATTTTTAGTCCATTCTGAATAGCTTTTGAGGCGAGTATCCTTGACCATACTCGCACCTATTTTATTTTATTTTATTTTTGAGTTAGTGTAGTTAGACCATTAGTTGCATGCTGAGTCATAAATTTGAATCCCATGTTAGGGTTTACTAGACTTTGATTGATTAGACCATTAGTTGCAGTGGAAATATAAATGTGAGGCAAACCAAGGAAGAGACACAGCAATGTAATTCCCAAAGCTCAGATCCCACTTGGATCGTACGTATGCGTTGTCGAAGCCATGAATGACCACTCAGTGTGCACTTACGCTAGTTTGCTCTCAACCACTTTCCACATCTACCAAGTGATCTTTTCCCTTTCAGGGGCAAGATCGTAGCCTTCACAAACTTATTGCAGCAACCTATGACCTTGGATGCTTGCCAGTGACACCTGGCCATATAGGAGACTTAACCTCCAAGAGTAACAAATACAGCAACCGAAATCTTGACTTGCTCAAGTGCTCAACAGTTGACACTTAGTGTTACTATATACACAAGCTCTCTAATGCTACTTAGGCTTCTCACACAACAAGTCTATCAACCCAAACTAAGGATTTCACTCTCTAATGGCCTTACACCCACGAAGTGAGGTTTGGAAGAGAACTACTGGCTTCTGGTCGTGTATGCAAAGTGAAAGGCATCCAGCAGCTAGCACAAGGAGAGAGGCAGAGCTATTTATAAGCTATCACAAACTAGCCTTTGGGTGTGTTAGATAACATATCCGATATCTAAAAATTTAGCCAAATATATTCGACCAATATTCCAAAAATATTCAACAAACATTTAAATGTAAACATTATACATTATACAATGGCTAACAAATAATTATAATTATTTATAATTATATACAAGAGTAACAACCCAACCTAAATTATAAGATGTTGGAGGCTTTTTTTTTTTTTGAAAGAACAGGACTACCGGAAATAAATTAAAAGGCGAACGGCACAAAAAAGAAGTACAGAGTTACAAAACAGAGCTAAACAATGCTTGTTGCATTCTACACAACTACCAGTAGTGTCGTGCCCCCCCACTCCCTGAGCCTTTTTTATAGCTTATCAACACACTAATGCAGTTTGCTTTGGTGAGGTGGATAAATCCACTCGCTACTGTGATGCTACTACTCAGGCTCGCAGGCTCGTTGATTGGCAGAGGCAATATAGTCGACCGTCCACAGAGCCCTAAAAATCAAGGGCCCCAAATGTTGATTACATAAGTATGCTAATTAACAATTATGTGGCTACATTAGCACATCGTAAAGTAGTCTGACATCGTAGGCCTAATACAGTAATTTAGGTCTAATCGATCACATTCACGTCAACATTAACTAGCTAGTCGACTTTGTCATATCTAAACTCGTGTTTGGGCTATTCTCGTTAGCATTGCCCATTAAGACATGCCCAACCAGGAAGCAACTTATTCGAAGATCAGTAAGTTTTGGATGAAACGCAAAAGGTGGAGTGGTCATGTAATAATGGGTGTGTTGCTTTTACCTAATATAAAAAAACATTCGTGGCTGATATTATTCGCACCCAAATAGTCCCATACCAGATGCACATGTATTTCTTTGTGAATTATAGAATAGACCCAAACACTCATACTACACGCACACCTACGAGGGTATCTGGAAGATTTCGATTGAGCTGGTAGATCTCGAAATTAATAAAGTCACTCTCGTTGTCGATGGACACGTTGCTTACCACAGAAAGGACAATGTCATTAAATCTTGAACTAAATGTAGAAAAAAATGCAACCATCAACATCAAGACTTGAACATGGCACCACATGAAACTCGACTAAACTAACCTCGGCTCAGTTTACCACTTTGGAACGGAGGAAAAACATAGGAATTTTGAAGGATCCAAATCTTAAAGAAAAAATTCCATTGAAACAGTTTGGAACAAAGGAATGTTTCGATTCCCACAAATTCCTTTGAAATTCCTATAGATTGGGTCATTCCAAAGGAATTTTGGAGGACACTAAAGATGAGCTCCACCTCATTGTTTTGTTTCCTATGGTTTTCCTTCATTGCTTCCAAAGACATATTCTTCATGTAGAATTTGAAGTGTTAGTGCATTTCATTCCTATGTTCTTATTATTCCTATATTTTGTAAATCCTTTGTTCTAAGGTGCCTTATTCATAACTGAGACAATCATCGTATCCGCAACTAGGGTTGCTTATTACCCAACCAAAAATGCCGATGATCATGTCCTACCACGCCTGCTGCCTTTCCGTCTCCACGTTGCGCTTCCGTTCCGTGGAGATCGAGACCACCGTCACCCGCGACGCAGCGGTCGCGGACGCGTGGGTGCGCGGCCTCCGCGCCTCCCACCCGCGCGTCGCCCCCTTCATCGTCGGTCTCGACTGCAAGTGGAACAAGCAGCCGACGAGGAGCCCCGCGTGGATGGCGCCCAAATCGGCCGTCCTCCAGCTCTGCGCCGGCGGCGGCGCCACCGGCTGCCTCGTCCTCCAGCTTCTCTACCTCCGCCACGTCCCGGAGATTCTCAGGGAGTTCCTCCGTGACCCCCGGGTACAGCTCGTCGGAGTCGGCGTCGTGGAGGCCGCCGCGAGGCTGGCCGCCGACCACGGGCTCGTGTGCGCGGCGCCCGTGGAGCTAGCGGGCCCCTGCGACGCGTACCTGGGCCTCGTGGGCAGGGACAAGCTGACCATAACATGGAGAAGCCCGATAGCGTGGGCATGAGCGACTGGGAGAAGCATGATCTGAGCATGTGCCAGATCGGCTACGCCTGCGTTGATGCGTACGTGTCATACAGGCTGGGTGAGAAGGTCTTGTTGGGCCGCTGATGGAACTATGGTACTCTTTGGACCCGTCGTGCTACGCTACCTGCTAAATTTGGTCCCGATCATGATATAGTTTTTATTTTTATGGATGAACACTACGCATCGTAGCCATAGTCTCAATGTATAGTTTCTTCAATATATAAATTTTGTTCATTCACGTGTCTTTTCTGATGTAGTTTCTTGTTCAAGGGCAACTCCAACAGTGTTAAACCAGCTAGCTCACAAAATTTTATTCAATAGAGAAAGAATGATAAGCTTGCTCTTCACGAAGAGCTAAGCTTACACACTTTTCTATAATTCATGTGTCTATGCTTACATATTTTTGTACACTATCATATTAGGTTGCTCTATTTTTATTATTTTTTGTTGATATATGAGCTAGCGAGTTCACTATATTGTTGAGGGTGCCCTAAGAAACCATTTCCTCCTATCTCTTTTTTAACCTCAATGCCATATCATCATTTTGCTTAGTTAGCATCCTAATTTTCTAATTGATGAACATAGCAACCATCTAGTGTTTGGATTGGGACTGCCCTAACTAGGTACTCAAAGCTTCATCCTTCTATGGCATGCTTAATATATATTTATATTCTCTGGGAAATCAATTTGTATAACAATTCAGTTAACTGTGACGTATTTTCTTTGATGGTTTTTTTAAAACCAAAGCATTTGGTGAAAACCTGATTGCTAGTACAGACTGCTATATATTTTCAGAGGATGTTTGATGAGACTACCGATCAGACATTCAGATCCAATGATTCAATGGATTTTAACAGGACAAAGATGTGTTTTTAAAAAAGTATACTTGAGACTATATCCGTATAGTTGAATCTTATTGTTTGTGGAAGTTAGAATATATTGCTGTCCCTATCCTAGGATTACACTTATTTTCATTCTATGAAGAAGTACAAAGGGAAGCTAAAGAACCTATTACCAGTAGTAGTCCCGTCCATAACACGAATTTTTGTATCGTTAAATGATGCAAGAGACTTTTACCAAAATAAGCACACAAAGTACTCCATCCATTCCAAATTATAAGTATACCTATTTAATGTCACAAATATGTGTAATTTTGCATTTCAAAAAAAAAACTGTGTAATTTTCTCTATAATTTAAGTCAAACTTGAGATGCTTAGAAAGTTAGAATAACTTATAATTTGGGACGGATGAAGTATTTTGCTATATATATGTCGGTAGTAACTATATGCCTTATAGCTGACTCAATGACGCCAGCTTACTTTCTGTACGTCTCGCTCCAACGATTAGCTTACAACTTTGAAATGTAATTCAAAACCAAACGTGCTTTCTAAATTCTAACCAAATGCTCGTTAACTCCAACATTGTATATTACCATCATGGGGATCAATTTTGACCACCGTTCATGGTGATGGTACTAGCAAAAGGAGCTATGGTAATAAGGTAGGAGTAAAAGACCCTCTAGGTAGAACAACCAGCTGCTGTGCATAGGATTAGCAAGATGATGACAGTGGAAACCAAGAATAATTGCTACCAGACGAAATTCAAATAATTATACTAAAGGTAGTTCCATACATTTAATAATCTAATTTAGATAGATAGATAGATAACATAAATAGTGAACACAACTGCAAGCACCACAAGCAGATAATGATAAGATAGTCGTAACAAGCATGACGAACAATCCGACGAGCACAGGGATGACGACAACGTTCCATGCATTTAGTTGGCCAAGATCTTCTCTCCCAGCTTGTAAGACACGTACGCATCGATACATGCATACCGGATCTGGGCCTCCTCGAGGTCATGCTTCTCCCAGTTGCTCATAGTGACACTGCGTGGCTTCTCCATGGCCAGCCCCAGCACCTCCCTGGCGAAGCCCTTGAGCCCCAGCCTCCTCCCCCCAGTGTAGTGGCCCAGGTGGTCGTTGCAGCGGCCTTCCAAGTCAAGGTGCGCCGCGCAGGTGAGCCCGTAGTCGGCGTCCAGCTTCGCCACGTCCTCGCCGACGCCGATGCCGACGAACAGCACGCTGGGATCGGCGAGGAAGCTCCTGATGGACGCCGGGATGCGGTCGACGTAGAAGAGCTGGAGGACGAGGCAGCGTGTGCCGGCGCAGAGCTGGAGGATGGCCACCTTGGAGGTCGTCCAGCTGCGGTAGTTGGGCTTCCACTCGCAGTCGAGCCCGACGATGAGCCGGGCGCCACGCGGGTTGGCGGCGCGCACGGTGCGGACCCACTCGTCGGCGACCGCGGCGTCGCGGGTGACGGTGGTGTCGATCATGGCGGAGCCGAAGTGGGCCGTGAGGCGAGTGGTGGAGCTGTTGGAACGACCACCAAACATTGTAGTAGCTGCTAGTAAGGAGAGATAGTTCTTTGCTCTCTACGGCTTTGTATTGTACTGTGAGGAATAAGAGAATGCTAGGAAGCTCTCGTATTTATATACTGGTGTGAACTACGCATGCACGAGCTGATCCGTCTGAGCGATTAATGCTTGGTGACACGAACAAACATTTCGTTAGGAGCGTCGTCAAAGCACAATCCCAAAGAGTCGACGTCATTTATAATTTGTAAGTTACCGAGCGAGGCAGTAATTAAATTCCTATGGGAAATTGTGGGCGTGGTCATACTAGCTAGCTTCACGCCTCCACAGTTTCCATGACAAATTTGACCGTTGGGAGAAGCGTCAAGTCCAAGATCGGCGATGCCTGGTTCATGCGTACGTGTCCTACAGGCTCGGCGCTAAGGTCTTGTTGGGCCGCTGATGGAACCCTGGGCCTCTTAGGCCCGTCGTGCTGCGCGCTACTGCTGCCTGCTGAATATACATATGTTACACTAGCAAAAGTAATAATGTTGCATAGAAAATAAGAGGAGAGAGATGATGAGTTGTTTATTATCCCTTAAAACCTAGCTGACATTGTTTTCTTGTGAATCAAATTACAACAACACTTGCATTGAGAGCTCACCATCTCATCTGCACGTGCTTTTGGCCGATCTCACGCAGCTCACATCCTCATTGTGCACCACACTATCAGATTTATCGACGTAGAAGAGCTGGAGGACGAGGCAGCGTGTACGACTTAAGCATGTAATCAATTAAGCAGAAGAATGCTTCCACGCACCTCGCTCTCTACCTCAGCCAAATCTTGCCACCGCCATAGTCGTAGCCCTGTAGCTAAAATAGATTATCTGGGGAGCAGGTCACGCCATGCCAGTAGCACCGCCACTGGCAACAAAAGGGCTGGGGGCACCATCCTTTTCTCCTTCCATTAGGTCTTGGTGCTAGGATAACCATTAACCGGGGAAGCAACAACGGCGTAGCCGTGTACCATTGCTTGGCAATTTGATTCAAGGCGCTTGGCCACTAATGTCGTTGGCCGCTGCTGCTACTGCTACGGTTTGGATATAGTGAAAGACAATAGAGAGAGCAGAGCGCTGTTCGAGCACAGAGCCACTAATCAACGAATGCTCGCTGGATTAGAATCAAGTGAACGACAAGCTAATCCTGCAACTTTTCTTATTGAAAAAATGTGTCCACAAGTTTCTATATTTAGAAAGTTATTACAAAGTTATACATATGACATTCGAGCATAAAATTTTAAGGGGCATAACTTATATTACCACAACAAAAGATAATAACTTTATCAATATATTTTTTAATGATATTCTATAGATAACTTATCATAATGACTTTTCTACATGACCTTTGAAACCCAACATTTGCTCGTAACTATCAGCAAGCAGGATCATTGGGATAATATGCCTTCCTCTGGTATACTAGCTATCAAACGAATATACATTATTAAAGCATTATTACATTTGACTAGACATATGCCCATGCGTTGCACCGGGGTTATAATTTTTTCGTCCGAACCTCAGTAATCAGACACGGACGTGTGTGCTCTAAGGACTTCGTATTGAACGCGGAAGTGGATCTGGTTTTCGAATCAGAACTTGGTAGGACGCGGACGCGCGAGCTTTGACTGGAGGATGATTCGTATTGGTCATAGACACGTGAGCAGGGATCAAGATTTAGTATCACCGGTAAATGATAACGTTAGAGTCTTTTTAGGTGTAGAGATTGCAAATCTGCAAAGAAACTAGATGAGCTTCACTCATGTTATGTTGACTAGTGACGAAGTTAGAGTAAATTAGAGGAGATGCACTTGCCTTGTGGGCGTGGAATTCTAAACTCACTATTTTTGCAAATTGGGGGAGGGGGGTGTGCATGTGCACCCCTGTACACAAGGCAGCCCCTGATGTTGACAATAAAGCCCATCTCATCACATATATAGTTCATCATCCCAAGTTCTCAACAAAGGCAAAGCGTTACTGAACTGATAGACTGTATACTCTGTACATCGGGCTAGGGTGGACGACGACGCTGACAAGACACGGCTGACGGCCGGGACATCACAACACCAACCTATATGTCGGCGCATGAGACCGTCGCGACTTCCATTTTGTAAATGAAAGAGTTGGAGTACTCGAAGGAGATGGTCTCGCCAGGGCCGATAGGTCCACCGTTCCTGACTAGGCAGTCGCCGTACGAGAGGCGCCGGAAATCGCTGGGGTCGACGAGCTCCGTGGAGGCAAACTCACCGCAGGAGACATGGACGCCACGCACGGTACAGTCCAGGCACGTGTTGGTGATGGTCACGCTGTAGGACGGGACGCCGTTGGGCAGGCTACCCGCGTTGTCCTGGGACACCTCCACCACCTCCTCCGAGCAGAGGTCCGCCGATGCCGCGTACGCCACAGCAGCAGCTCCGCGAGAGTTACCGCCGCCGGCTGATCGATCCATCAACACATGCATGCGTACAGGACAGTGTACATAACAGCAACAGGGATGAGCCAAGTCGATCAAACTTTTCTGAATCGCGAAAGCAAAAAAGGAAAACAACGTGCCAAACTGCAAATCTTTCTTACTGCTGGTGTTGTTGAGCAGCTTGCGGACGTGCACTGCCTGATGATGCTTCGTCGCTACGGTGGGAGACGGATGACAAGACACTCCAGCTGCTCAGTGATCAGTAAATTGTTTGGTCAGCCATTGTCACGCATATCATGCAACAGACGATCGAAAAGGGTGACTGATAAGAGAGGAACAAATACAGCACGCAGACCTTGGCCAGCTAGGAGGAAGAGCAAGGCCATGAACACAATCGCGACAGCAGATCCCTCTCGAGGTCGAGGGCAACCCATGCGGTCGACGGCGCGGCGCAGAGCTGGAGCAAAAGGCAGCGGGCGGCGCGGCGCAGAGCTGGAGGATGGCCGGCCAACCTCGAGGTCGTCGTCATCGTCCAGCTGCAGTAGCTGGGCTTCCATTCGCAGTCAATGCCGACGCTGAGAGCGAGGCAGGGACCCCGCTCGGAAGAAGTGCATGCTATGCTACGGAGCCTCGTAGTATTTGTATCGGTGTGAACTCTTTACTGTGCGCGTCTTTTTGTAAATTATCGAGGAGAGCGAGGCAGTAATTAAATTCTTACGGGAAATTGTGGAGTGGTCATAGTCGTCATACGCTTCACGGCTTCCATTGAAAATTTTGACTGGATGCGTTTGAGGAGAAGATATATAGCGTGGTGAATTTGGGCAGACAAGACTAGAGAGCTTGCGTGTTCATGAGGCAGTGGCCACAAACATGGTATGTCATGATTCATATATTTGATCATGTTTTATCAGGGCCGTATCTCTTGGCACGTTCGGAGGGCCTCAAATCTTATTTACTTCTATGAAAGACATATGTCCATCTAAGTTCCTTATCTTAGGTCAAACTCTTTTAATTTTAATTATTTCCATCGGAACTTTATAATATATCTTTTCAAAATATATAATTTTGTTGATTTAAGATATTGTGTTATGTAAAGATTTGCTAGTCAAAGCCAGCACTTTCAAGCCCCTCTCCGAAGGAAAGAAATGTCTACACACCTCCCGAAAACAAGTTTATCAAGCTTTATTGGCTCCTATGATGACAAGAATGAGAGAGGACTCATCTCTTAACAATTTTTGGAAGAGAGGTAAAATACAACTTCTAATTTGACTATAGATGATTCACCGCACTCATAATAAATGGCGGATTCTATTTGAAAATAGGTTACCTTAGGCGCCACTCTAGTAGTATCAAGCCACATCTCACTTCTAGGCTAACAAGAGGTCTTGGTTGCAATGGTGTGTTGACATGGTTAACAAGGAGTTGCTTGATGATCCAAGGTTTAAGAGTTGTATTTTTGTTCATTGATGAGAAATGGTTCTACCTATCTTAAAAATCTGAAAGATCATCTTAAGAATAAGAACTATGATGATTCCTAGGTTTAGGGATGGGAATTGGTCATTTTATCGGATTGAGGTCATCATCGTCGGTTTTACCTATCACAGCCAAATGAGGGTCACTCAGCAATAGCCCCAATTGTGAGGCAATTATTATTCTATATACCTTCAACCACCAAACTCTCCGGATAAAAACAATAGAGGTTCTAGTTCCAACCGTGCAAGAGGTAATTTGATCAACACATGTTTCAATGTTTTTGGGGCATTTTTGGAGTACTCGCCACGCCTTTGCAAAACCAAATCAAAGAGAAAAGTGAAAGGTTAGGCATCCAGCATGATGCAATGATTAGAGGTGATGAATCTGCAGCCTATAATATAGTCGACGATGCAACTATCGATGTTCTTTTATTGCTATAGATCTGTTTTGGATTGGTTCCAAAACATTGGACCTTGTGGCATGTCCAATATTTGAGGGTTCATTGTTGGATTTACTAGCTTCGATGTTCAAAGCCACTAAGGAAGATGATGGAAGAATCTGTATAGAATATTGTATCTTTTTTGTTTTAGGTTTTTTCATGTGTAATTTGGGGATATATTATATCAGGTTTTAATATAATCCCCCCTTCCCTTCACAAAAAAACAATTATAGTTTAAAAAAGTACCTTGTTTGACCTAGGCCATACCTTGATTGATTTACATTTTGAAAAAATTACTTACGCCCTGATTCACAATTATTATAGTTCTAACTTCATATAAGTCAAAAACTTTTAGCTTTTACCATCAAACTCCCTATAACCTTGTATAGTTTAAAAACATGCAAATTATATATTATAATATATTTCTCATTATGAATGTAAAAGTATAAATCTTATGATGCTAAACAATATGAATTTCTAGAAATTAATGGTTAAAGATAGAAATATTAGATGTGATGTTTACTCGTATGCGAACTGGCCTATGGGTTTCTTGGACCATCCACACATTGCCATGTCACCTCGTCATGTTGAATGGTCATTGGCCAGGTCAACTTGGGGTGTGTTTGGTTGTCACATTGGAGTTGCATCGTATATCCGGATGAGGGGACGCAAGTTGAGTGGAACCATATTTTTAAAAAAAGGGTGTTAATTGGTGAGGTTGTATGAGTGGATACAAAAAAATCTAAGATGTTGCTCGGTTACATGTAGGAGCGGATGCAATCAATTTAGTCTGTGTGACTGACATGTGGACCTGGCATTTTATCCTTGCATCCATGGAGCCTGGCTCTAGAGATACGATCGATTCGGCCGTTTTATTATAGTTCTAACTTCATATAAGTCAGCTTTGACCATCAAACTCCCTATCCGAGCGTATTTTGGTTATTTCTCGGGCGAGGATGTCGTAAAGCGAAATATTAGATGCGTATCTAACATGCTTCTCTCCACAAATGTATAATGCATTGGCGGGCGGATGCAATGCATCGTATCCAGGGCCCAACCAACCAAACACGCCTTGTTCGCTACGAGCGTTCAATTTAGTATGCTCCTAGGACTAGGGATTGCAATGGGAATTATCCTCGAGAAATATCTCCCAATCCCCACACGAAGAAACATTCCACATCCTATCAAAACTCATGAGGGAGCTTTTCTCCTTGTTCTCATCCTCATTCCCACGCGGGGATTAATCCATGTGGGGATCTCCATCCCCACACATGTTCATCAATTCGTCACCCATATATGTTCATCAGTTCTTCATACATCACGTATTCACATGACATCCGTGATCCATTAAACATACACATATTTCTTATTAGTTATTACTCTACCAGTCTAGAAGTAAATAGCCATATGCTTTGTAAAAAAGAATAAATAGTTATACACATCTAGCACTAGTGGCGGTTCTAGAATCTAGAGAAGAGGGGGCTCAAGTCGCCTTCAACCTCTACAGCCCCTCCTTACATTCTAGAGCCCCTCCTTACTTTCTTCCATGTCTACAAAAATTATGAAGGGCTCCATTTGTGCAGAAGTAGTAGGGGGGTTCTTGAGCCCCTCCCGTCCCACCGCTAGATCTGTCCCTATCTAGCACGAACACTCACTCACACACACATAGAAATTGATTGACTATCACCTTCCTTCACACTCTATTGGATCTGAAGGACTAATCGATTTTGAGTAGATAGGAGGTAGACACATCCACCATCAAAGATAGCTTCCACCATCACCGTGGTCATGGATCCAGTGAAGTAGCAGCTTAGTCATCTTTGAATCTAGGTGTTCCACACATGAGCACATTTGGGGTTTGAGAAGCTTGAATTGGAGCAGATGAGCAGCACTACCTCATGTGTTGCGTCTTGTGAGTAGGGTTGTGGCCTACGGGATTTTGGGACATGGGCTATGGTCAGGAGTGAGGGCATGTTGAGCATAGGGTTGTGGCATGTGGGAGCGCGTAGGGTTGGTGGTGAGTGGGTTTCAACCCTAATCTCGTCTTCGCGTTAGTTGGCAGTGGGGGAGGGTGGAACTAGGAGCGGTAGGGTTGTTGATTTTGTTTTTGAGAGGAGCTGTAGTAGATAGGATGTAGGGTTAGCTACTTTTTTATGTGGAACCTCGACATGGGCTTTTGATGGGCTAGCTAGGTATAGAATAAGTATAGGGTTAGCTGTTTGGGATCTCTTCTGGGGTTGAGTACTTGCCTAGCCAATGATCTATTGGGCTGCACTCTAAAACTTTTGGCCTATATATTTGCTTGCTTCTCTAATAGTTGACCGGGAGAACTATCTTGACTTAGCGTGGCAAGAAGTAGGTAATCCACTTTTTGTTCATGTTCTCGCCAATTTCTCTTCTTTGTCGTCTTCTCTAACATCGATAGAAACGTAGGAAACACCTTCTGCATGAAGCCTGGCCATAAGAGGAATCTAGCATATCTTCAACTTAACTGCTTTATACATGCAGCCAGCCAAACACGTAACTAAATTCAAAAAAAGTACACATCATAGTGTAACCAGGGCACCAGGCTTAAGCCCTACACCTAATCAATCACACCCTTATAGAATCTGTGCCACTATATATACATATGCAGTCAACACAACTTCATAGTCGAAATGTTAGCTATCCTAGATCTATTGGAGCTACCATTGGCATTATAGTTAAATAGAGTTGCTAGCACGATCACTGGATAATGCCTTCTGATATGCTGGCTATAGTCAAACAAATATGCATTAGATAATTCTTGCATTTGATTACTAACGAACAAACTAGAAGAAGAATGATCAAGATTCAAAAATAAATAAGATAAAGTGAAGATACTTCATTGGAGCACTTGATCATGACCGACAGATCATATGGTGACGTGCAGAGATGATGCACAGTGAAGCAAGAGTTCAGCATATGATATCATGAGGAGAAGTGAAGGCCACATGATCAAGCAATGATGAACATAAGTGTGCACATTATTGAAAGCCTTGGTCAAAGGGCTAATGGTTCATACAATAAAGAAGCTAAAGGTGGTGGTTGTTCTTCTGGTGCTACTTAGAGGCATGTGGGCACTTGTATGGAGTGAGTCATCAGATGATATGGCAGACAACATGGTGCCAACTGGTGAATTATTCAGTGATGTGGGACCTTGTGGCAATGGTTCAAATGCCAACAGCTAGAAATGGTCGGGTACCCTACTGGACAATCTGATGAGGTGTTTTAGGGGGCATCATATCATCTAGTGATGTTTGTGTTTGCAGGCTTTTTCTCAATGCTAGAAGCTTTTGGTAGGCTAGAAATATTCTCTTAACCAACCATTTCATGTGTGTTTGAGTGCCCTTGAGTTATGAGAACCTAGAGCAAATGTTAGAACACTAAGCCACCATATGTGAACTTAGAGATCAAATCAAAGGTTTGGTTTGAGCTTAGTTAAACAACGTCGTTAAATCCTGAAATAAATCCAGGGAAATCATGCTTTTAATTAACTAGCAAATATGTCAAGACGTTGTAAAGGAATCTACATCTTATGTCATTTATTCTAATATATTTTGGAATCAGACTTCATACTCGTATGAACATGAGTTGCGAGTTTAGGTCACAAACAGGACAATAAAT